CCCAAATAGGCTGCTCATGTGAGCTAGTTTGATTATTGGCACCTCTGAAGCTCTAATGTCCTGTCATCAAACGGTTAGATCTCTTACTTTGTATGCGCGCTCAGGAGTCTGCTCACTCCTCCTGTATGGATTCAGCTCAGGAGCCCAGGTAGATAGCCACCAAGTGTGTGGTGTAGGCTCTCACTTAAAGTCTTAGACAGGCATGGGTAATTAGTGTAGGCACAGGCATCTGGCTGCAGCAGGGGGACACACTCTGAGCAAGGCAAGGGGTGACAGCTGCCCGCAAATATCCAGGAGGAAGGTGTTTCCCTGTTCCCTAAATCACGTAGGTGGGTGGGTTTTGCAGCTGACTATGAGCATCTAATGCTGTTGGCTGTAAGGACTGGGGGGGCATCTCTTATTCATGGACCCCTATTGCAGGTGGCTAGGTGGCATGGGTGGAGACACCAGTCCTCAGGCCCCTGATGTGGGTAGGTGAAGACCCTGCTTAATCAGCAGAGCAGTGTCAAATATCAAGAACCTGCCATTTCTCAGCTGAAACAGTTGAAGTTAGAGTTCTGGTATATACCCTGTTGTACTGCAGTAATGAGGGCTTACGCTGTTGAGATGGACCTACACAAGTCTATGCAGAGGGAAAGGCACTCAAAGTCCATGGATCCCTTATGCCTGTTCCTAGGCAAAGGAGCTGTGCCTACCCTGGGTTCGTGGCTTAGGGGAGCCAGCAGTTTATTTCTTCCCCCGTTTGTTAATTCGTTCATTCTCCAAGGCAGGGAAAATGGCTCCGGGCATGTGACAGATCCTACTTCCGGCCCAGGGGACTCGGCATTTGCTGAAGCTGGTCAGGGACCCAGTGCAGAGCAGGGAGCAGGGAGGTAAATGGGCGAGAGGTTTTTCCCTAAGGGGGATGTTTTTGATCCACGCGGTAAGCCATACGCAGGTACTTATCTTTCACCCATGAGGGCTTCTTCTCACTGGTTCTAGGTGGTCATGTAGACTCTCTGGCACTGGGTCTCTCCTGTTGTGGAATATGCCTCCTGAGCACTGTCCCTTGCCTGCCTCACGGCTCACCTAAGATCTGCTTGGCCTGAAAGTCTCAGGCTCTCGCTGGGTCAGGTCTGGCAACCTTTCGCTCCTTCTGAACCATCTCTCTCTCCCTCTGCCACTCATTCCGGTTCCTCAATTTGCCTTTGATGTTCAGGGTTCCCAGATTGCCATATATAGTTGAATCACTTGTTTTTTTGGGTCTTTGTTGTGAGAGGGTCCACTGGAAGTGTCTGACTACTCAGCCATCTTGGCCCCGCCTCAAGCTATGGTATTTTCAATTGCCTCACATGCATGCCAAATCTGGACAATGAATAAGGAAGAGAGAAGAAGAATTGATGCCTTTGAATTATGGTGTTGGCGAAGAATATTGAATATACCAAGGACTTCCAAAAGAACAAACAAGTCTGTCTTGGGAGAAGTACACTAGAATGCTGCTTACAATCAAGGATGGTAAGACTTCGTCTCCTGTACTTTGAACATGTTATCAGGAGGAACTAGTTCCTGGAGAAGGACATCATGCTTGGTATCATACCCACCCAATAGTACAGAGTAGAACTGCCCCATAGGGTTTCCAAGGAAAGGCTGGTGGATTCGAACTGCTGACCTTTTGCTTCACAGCCCAGCTGTTAACCACAGTGCCACCACAGCTCCTGGTAAGGTAGAACAGAAGCAAAAAAGAGGAAAACCCTCTATGAGATGGATTGACACACTGTCTGTAATAATGGGGTCAAATATAGCAGTGATTGTGAGGATAGTGCAGGACTGTTTTGTTCTGCTGTACATCGGGTCACTATGAGTTGGAACCAACTTGATGGCACCTAACAACAATAAAACAAGCTAGACTGAGTATATGGAATGTGGTTTGTTAAGGAAAAAAAGAAGTAATTTGCTCTTAAGGAAGAGAGACTTGTTGTTCCAGAATGAGAAAAAGGGACGCTTAAGACAAAACCTAAATAGAAAAAAAAAAAAAAGCTAGCCAAGAATTGATGAGTTCATTTACGAAATTGCTAAATAGCTTTGGTAATTGTTGGGTTGCTCTTACTACAGGGTAATACAAGGTTATGACAAAAACAGAAGGCTAAACTGAATACCAAGAGAATAATAAGAGAGAAGTCAAAGGACTCCTCCAAAAAGAGAGGAGATCTTTAAGGATATCAAAAAATAGGATAAATAAGGTGGACATTGGTGGGGTTAAGACAGGGAAAATGTTGTCTTAATATAGTTATCAGAAATTGGGTGGATCCTCAACACTAAAGAACCATAAACAAGTCCTCTCTATTGTAGAGAAATTTTTAAAAAGACAAAAGCTAAAAATTACAATGAGACATATCTGAAATTTCCTGGGGAAATCTCTCCACCCCTAGCCAGAAACTTAACTTTATATCCATATCAATGAATTGATTGGGTTGAACTGAGATTTTGTGATTTCCAAAACCACTTAATAAAATCTTAAAAAAGGCTAAGGTTAGATTGAAAAAATATGAGAAAAGATTGATAAAACAAAGGTAAAAGTTTGGAACCAACTTTATTTCAACAGTAATTATGTTTTGTGGTATATAGCCTTCAAGATAATTTTCAAAGATCTTTAAGAAACTTACTGATAGTAAGTTTAGTTAATTAATGGATATTCATTAGAATTTAAATTTATGTACTTTTTACTTTTTATTTTATATGCCATAGAAAGAGAATATATATTTGCGTCTGCTAATAAATGTGTTGGAGCCCTGGTGACGCAATGGTTAAGGGCTATACCTGCTAACCAAAAAGTCAGCAGTTCGAATCCACCAGCCATTCCTTGGAAACCCTGTGGGGCAGTTCTACTCTGTCCTATAAGGTCACTATGAGTCGGAATCGACTCGAAGGGCAATGGTTTTTTTTTTTTAATGAATGTGTTCATTTTTTTGCCACTTTAATATGTTGTACTATAACAGCTGTGATAAAGATAGCAAGCTTAAGGTTCATGAAAAAAAGGGAATTTATTTGATATAGTCAAAGTTTTTATGTGTCGTGGCTAAAGTTTGGTAGGTTAATTCATGAGATTTTTAAGAGCTTTACTAACAAATAGTACATAAAGCTAAAATTTGGTTTTCTCTTTGACAAAATTTAAAAAATTTTCTTTTATTACTGGGTTAAATGTTGTAAGGATTAACTTCTGTGTGACCTACCTGGAAGGCAAAGTTTCAGTGTCCCATTAGAATAAGTTCCTGAGTTCATGTTAAAAACCAAGACTTATGGCTTTTGAAAAAGCTAACAATTTTACTTTTAAAAAATTTTGTCACTTTGGTTAAATAGATATCCATCTGAGTGACCTACGATAACCTCCTGCGAACTTTTGAAACTTTGCAGAAAGCCACCAAAGACATGTCCTCTCTTTGTAAGGAGGAAAGTGCTAAAAATAAGGCTTATTTAATGTGTTGTGAGTTACATGAAGTGTACCCATGACCCTGAATTAACTCAAGGGCAACCAACAACAACAAAATGGAAATATTTTCACTTATGTGATTGCCATGGAAGCTGACTTTTTCAAGTGTCACTAACAATTAGTGATTATATTAGTTTCCTAGGAATAGATTAAAGAAGATTGATGGCAAATAGGAGTCATTTTCTTGAACAGACTGAGGTTTTTAAGAAAAACATCACAAATTCTGGAACAGAAAAAAATAGGAATTTATTCTCTGTATCTATATCTTTTTATACTTCAGTGTAATGTATTGTTGTTGTTGTTAAGTGCTGTCAAGTCAGTTCCGACTCATAGCGACATATGTACAACAGAACGAAATACTGCACAGTCCTGCGCGAGGCTCACAATCGTTGTTATGCTTGAGCCCATTGATGCAACCACTGTGTCAATCCATCTTGCTGAGGGTCTTCCTCTTTTTCACTGACCCTCTACTTTACCAAGCATGATGTCCTTCTCCAGGGACTAAACCCTCCTGATAACATGTCCAAAGTATGTAAGACGTAGTCTTGCCATCTTTGCTTCTAAGGAGCATTCTGGATGTCCTTCTTCCAAGACAGATTTGTTCATTCTTTTGGCAGTCCGCGGTATATTCAATATTCTTTGCTAACACCACAGTTCAAAGGTGTCAGTTCTTCTTTGGTCTTCCTTATTCATTGTCCAGTGTAATGTATAACACATAATATTTAAAGCATTGATTTTGATAAATAGGAATGTTTCATTATAACATGACTTTTATAATAGACAAAAGGATGTATTTAGCATAACAAAGCAAAATGTGGATTTTATTTTTTCACTTGTCAACTATATTTTCTTGCAATGACTGTGAAGAAATAAATTTAAATTTTAGACTATTTTAATCTCAGTTTTGGCTGAAACTGTTTGGGCAGATGCTATGGATTTGCTCATTCGGCTTCCACTCTCACCTCCTTCTCTTGGGCGTTGCTATATTAAAAGATTTGGAAAATTAAAAACCATTACTCAAACTCCCTTGCAGCTAGGGTTCCAGATATAACTTAGGCTCAAACGGATTAATATGAGACTGAAATTTGGAACTGAGTTGAGAGGGGAAAACGGCATCCATTTTGCTGATATATATGTTGGCCTAGACGGAATGGGTCTGGAGCCAGAAGCTGCGCTGGCAGTTTCCTGATTTAAACAGTTTTCTGATTCTTCAGGTTCCTGACTGTGGCAAGAGTAGTAGTCCCCGTAGTGACTGCATCCAGTGGTGTGGCTTTGCAAGGCATTCCCAGAAGCTCTGAGTAGGATCTAATTCTGTAAACCGTTTAATATGGTATATATATGAAACCCCTTTCTACTTAAGATAGGTATATTGGATTTTGTTGTTTGCACCTGAACCTGGACAGATACAGGTCCCAAGAAAATAGGTGTCATATTCTAGAGTGAGGTGGGAGACCGTTGTGCAGGACTTACAAACAGTGTGTTTAAAACCTTTTTATTGCCTTTAATCTCTCACCCACAGCAAGGGTACAAAATTGTGGGAAGTTTCAGATTACTCGTTGCTGTTGAGTCGATTCTGATTCATAGCAACCCTATAGAACAGGAGTAAAAATGCCTTATAGGCTTTCCAAGGCTATAAATCTTTACAGAAGCAGACTGTCACATCTTTCTTCTGCGCAACGACTAATGGGTTCAAACTACCAACCTTTCGGTTAGCTGTGGAGCACTTGACCACTGAGCCACAGTGCTCCTAGTTTGAGATTAGAGGTGGATTTATGGAGATAGTTGTTGGTGTGCTGTGACACTCCCCTCCCCGAGAAAGTGTATATCTGCTCCTGACTTCACCCACAGGGAGAAGTGCTTCAAGATCACAACTTGAAGAGCTTAGTATGTGTCGCCTACAATATAAGAGACATAATGGACAGATGATTAACTCCGGTGTGAGAACTATAGAGAGCAGAGACTGCAGTTGGCTAGGTGCTTTGATCATGGAGTGAAGGGGAGGTGTCTACACGGGTACACACCAGAACTCCATGAGTTTGTTGGGGTGAATGAGTTGGATGAGTGTTTTCCATGGAACATACGTTGTGCTGCACATAGGTGAGAGAGCCAGCATGGGCTCTCTTAGATCCTGTCCCAAAGGGTTGCCTCGAGGCAGAGGGACCTCATGGAAGGAAGCTAGAGGTGGACTGCAAGATCTCTGGAGACTGAAGGAGTCAGAAGCAACCAGCCAGATAAAAGGTGATGCAATTTCTTGTGTCAAGAAAACTGCAGGTGAGAGACCAGGGTACTCTGAAGAACTCACGACAGTGCCCGATGAAGGAAAGTCAGCTTTAAACCGAGCGACCATCGTAGCAGTACCCATCAGGTAAGACCTTCCCTGCTTCCTTGCACGTCTCCCTTCCACTGCTCCAATCTTGGAGGCATCAGAAGCTGCAGCTGTAGGATGGAGATGGCGAAGTAAAGAGATCAACCGGTCTGTCCCTCTGAGGTGTCATACTCTAGAGGATTTGAGAAAGAAGCTTTAATTTTAAACAGCCCTTTTCCTTACACTAATACTGAACTGAAGCTAGTTTTGCAACAGGCCTTTTACTACATGTACTTAAAAATGACCAGAAAAGTGGTGGGTCTTGTGTAGATTGCATCCAAAGGACAGAGGAGAGTCAGGCAGAGGAAGTCAGGCAGGCAGTAGGGGAATGGATAGGAGGTACTTTGGAATTACACTTTGTGAGTTCCGATTGTTCTATTTAACGCAAAAATGTATTGCCATTTCCCCAACAGCCACATGAAAAGATGCTCAAGGTCATTAGCCATTAGGGAAATGCAAATCAAAACCACACTGAGATAGCATCTCACCCTACTTTGAATGGCAATGATCAAAAAAAATGGAAAACAACAGGTGTTGGTGAGGTTGTGGAGAAACTGGAACCCTCATACATTGCTGGTGGGGATGTAAAAGGGTATAGGCACCATGGAAAACAGTTTGCAGTTCCCCAGAAAGTTAAATATAAAACTACCGTATGACCCAGCAATTCCAATCCTAGGTATATACCCCAAAGAAGTAAAAGCAGGAACTCAAATAGAAACCTGTACACCAATCAATATTCATTGCAACACTTTTCACAATAGCCAAAATGTAGAAACAACCAAAATGTCCATCAACAGATGAACAGATAAACAAAACATGGTATAGACATACAATGGACTATTACTCAGCCATCCAGAGAAATGAAGTCCTGATACATGCCACAATATGGGTGAACCTTAAAAACATTACAATGAGCAAAATAAGTCAGTGGCAAAAGAATAAATACTGTATGATCTCACTTATATGAAATAAGGAAATATATAAAAACCAAAGATTATTAATGGTTACGGAGGGAGAGAAGAAGGGGGAAAGGGGAGTTTTTGTTTGGAGAGCGCTGAGTTTATGTTAATGATGGTGCAATAATTTTGGAAAATGATAGGGTTGATGGATGTCCAACATGAAGAGTGTAATCAGTGTCACTGAATTATACGTGTAGAAGTTGTTGAATTGGCAAATGTTTTATGTATATTTTCACCACAATAAGAAAAATTGAATTATTTTAAGAACCTGTTGCCCTTCCCTTGATCTCTGATAAACGTCCAATTTTGCTTAGTTTTGCCTATTATAAAAGTTATGTTACAATAACAAGTTCCCATTTATCAAAAACAATAAGCATTATGTGTTATGTATTACATGGAAAGTATAAAAAGATATAGATGCAGAGAATAAATTGCTTATTACTTCCCACAGGTCTCCTTCCACCCCAGCTCTCAAGCTTTCCCACTCATTACCCTTTTCCTCCCCGACCCGTCTGTCAGTTTGTCTTACTGGGGTGGCTTGCGTGTTACTGTGATGCTGGAAACTGTGCCACCAGTTTTTCAGATACCAGCAGGGTCACCCATGGTGGACTGGTGTCAGCTGAGCTTCCAGACTAAGACAGACTAAGACCATTTTCTTCTCTCTGGGTCAGAGAGGGGCTGGCAGAGATCTCATAAAATGAGTTTAAAGTGTTTATTTACCACTGAACAGAAAGTGAAATATGAATGTTTGTTAGGGTCTGTCTTATTTTCCTAGTGCTGCTGGAACAGAAATACCACAAGTGAGTGGCTTTAACACACAGAAATTTATTTTCTCACAATTTAGGAAGGTAGAAGTCAGAATTCAGGGTGCTAGCTCTAAGGGAAGGCTTTCTCTCTCTCCTGACTCTAGGGGAAAGTTCTTGTCTCTTTTCCGCTTCTGTTCCTGGGTTTCTTGGGGATTCCACATGGCTTGGCATCTATCTTCCCCAATCTGTGCTTCTTTTCTTCTGTTCCTAAGCGGCTCCTTTTATATCTCAGAAGCGATTGGTTTAAGACATACCCTACACTGTTATGGCTTCATTAACATGACAAAGAAAAACCCTATTCCCAAATGGGATTACATCTACAGGTACAGGCGTTAGTATTTACAACATGTATTTTTGGTGGACGCAGCGGGGTGGGGAAGGCAAGTCTATCAGCTCCTGAAAGAATGAGGCTGTTGTTTCTCAGGGTGTGTCTTGTGCTGGGGACATCTTAGAAGGCTCCCTCACCTGAGGAGAGAGAGAAATTGAAATGGACAGTATTGAAAATGGTCCCCTTCAGGCCAGGATTGATTCTATGCTCCCTCTTCTGAAGAAAAGCCTGAATTGAGAAGCAGCAAAAGCCTCACTCTGCCCCTCCCCATCTCCAGGTCTATCCCATCCCTTTGAACCCAGCCTAGTTCTATTCACGTGAGGAACAGAGTTTAATTCTCCTGGAATCCAGATTTCTGGGGTCCATGGAGTTGGGGTGGCTGACCCAGGTCATTGCCCTGAAATCTTCTTTGAGCCTTGACCCTTGACAAAACTGATTTCCTAGAGTCACCTTTGAGTCAAAAAATAGCCTAGTAGTAACTTAGTAACGATCGTTTTGCCTTAGGCACTGGGCTCTTGTGGAGAATTACCTATGTGCCTGGCCTTTCTTTGGAGGTGCCACAGGGTGGAGTAAAACCTCCAACCTTTGGGTTAGCAGCCAAGAGTGTAAACTGTTAGCACCACCCAGGGACTCATTAGCCACATTAGCCCATCATTTTCTCCAATTACTGGATAGAAAGAATCTGCAGCTGACATTAAAAATCTGCTGCATGAAACTAATCATGTTCAAGTTTATTTTATAATACACTTGATACAGTCTTTATTCAATAGTGTGGGCTCAGTCATTCTTAATTATTTCCCTTGTCTTCATTAAGACTTGAGTTAAAGAATCCAGCAGATATCGATTGAAAGATTCAGACCTGGTGGGCTCAAGCCATCTGTTGGTGCCTGCAGTGGGCAAAATTGGTCAAGTATAATAAATTCAGTGCTTTATTCCTCTGAACTCAATAAATACAAAGAAATCCCAAGTATTGGAAACATCAGATGTCACAGGAGGGAAAAATCTAATGACGGGGTGGGAGTTTACTGAGGCTAGGAAAGGACGAGGGACTTATCCAAGGTCCCTGAGTATGTTCAGGGCACAGTGAACAAAAATCCAGGCCATCGCCCTTCCATTACCCTACCAGGGCCCCACTTCCCTTCACAACAGGTTGAGGTTTTAGTTATTCAGAGCGTGTTACTAAAACCAAATGAAGAACGTGTCCCTGAGTAGAGGTCATGGGAGTCCTCACTTGATGCATAAATCATTTGTAACCAGCCCATTAGTTATTGAGTACAACCAAAAAACCAAATCCATTGCCATCAAGTCAACTCTGACTCATGATGACACTTTATGACAGAGTCGAACTGCCCCATAGTGTTTCTAAGGAGAAGCTGATGGATTCGAACCACCAACCTTTTGGTTAGCAGCCATAGTTCTTAACCACTGTGCCACTAGGGCTAGTTACTGAGTATCACTGGATGTTTCTAAAGTACTGGAGAATTATTTTATTCTACCACCTGCGTTCACTATGTTCACTACAGTCCTACCTACAACACTAGTGTTTTGCTTGTTTGACTCTTGATTTACAGATATTATGAAGTTCAACTTAAGCCCAGCCCTGTCCTAATATTCACACAGTTCACATTAGTAGGAACTGAAAGAGCAGTGTCCTGTGCTGGTGGAGGCCTCTCTGGATCACTAAACTGCAAGGAAGAGCTTTATTCAAAGGCTTGAGGCAAAAGTATTGGACTGTACTTCCCAGCTCTACCTCCCCATGTGAGCAAACAGACTTGCTAGTAAAGGCAGAGGTCAAATTATAGATGCCCCTATAAGAAGAAGAAGCAACTGAAGGCCAGAGAGAAGTCCTTCATTTTACTCTCTAATACCTATTCCTCCTCTGTACTTTTTCAATCCCTTGAGAAAGCGGACAGCTTTTTATTGACTGAGCTGGGCCTATTTCACAGATTCACAGGACCGTGAAATCAGATGGGTCTCCTAGGCCCCAGTGCCTCACTTCTCTGCTAAATGACATCCTAACTTTACCTCTTGGAGCCTCTGTGTCTTTACTGTGAAACAGAACACTTGGTTCGAAGGGGGATTAGCAAGTTAAATGCTTGGCACATAGTAGAGGTTCTGTTACTGGGTTCCTGCCTCTCTGCTTCCCTGCCACAGTGTGAAGGATGTTGGAGATCACCTAGTCCAAAATCCTTGTCTTACAGTGAGAAAACTGAGGCCCAGAGAAGAGCCATGACCTTCTCAAAGTCACAAAGCAAAAGGGTAGAGAACCTAGGAGTCCTAATTTGGGGTCTAGAACTTTTCCCATTGCTTCACATTGTCTCTCCAAAACAACCCCTCATGACAGAAGGGACCCCACCCATGGGCTCTGGCTGAGGATGTCAGCTCAGCAAAGCCCCTTCCCTGGGTGGGGTTTCCCTGTTGCTCACCATCACAGTGAACCAGCCAAATCTGATCGTGCAAGATGACGGGGTCCTGAGGAGAAGGGTCTATCACACACTGGTACAGTCCCTCATCCTGCTTCTGCAGCCCTGCCACCGTGACCTTCACAAAAGCTTCCGTGGGAAAATCCTCCAGCGGATACCTTCCAGCCTGGGCTCGGTTTATGTCTGTGTTTCTGGTCTCCGTGCACAGGGGGGCCCTAGCTCCTCACCCACTGCCAGGCCTTCAGGCTGGAGGCATATTTCATGATCGTGTAAGGACAGACCTTGACTAGTTGTTTCTTTTCTATTAGGCACACTTTCTTCTCCATTATGCTTACTGCTTGGAACCCTGGAATGAAGATTCAAGGTGGTGTCACTGATCAAATGATCAGATGCTTTTCCTGCCACCCCTGCACCCCCCAGCCTCAGGCTGCATAGCAGCCACAAGACCACAGGTCAACAGGAGTACTAGCTTCATCAAACATTTAGGAGACATCTAGGATTTCTGTAAATTATTTTGAAATGAAGGTCTACATCCTCTTCTTAGTGTGCCCTCTCCCCCACCCTCCCTGCCTCCCTCTCGAGACATATTTTGAGCCATTTCAAAATGATTATATATA